AAGGTAGCTTTGCCTGAATTTTTTGGCATAGAAGGCAATCCAATAAGCAACAAACTCTGTGAAAAATCCATCCAAAGAGCCTGGCAAAACAAGACTTTTTTATATTAAAAATTAATTCGTGTAATCTATGTATTTCTTTGCTTATTCCAGTATTGCCTTGTTAGATTAGCAACATGCTAATGCCAAACCCTAGCAGACAACAAACAAACAAGGTTTTGAAATAAAGTCGTAAAGAAAAAAAACAACAACTCCAATCAGCTCTGAATTAAGCGTTCATTCATTTAAAACATTGAATACTAAGCACAGCAATGATGTAACCCTTTTTGTTTGGTTCATCTAAAGCTGTGATTAAATGAGGTCGCTTTTTTAATTCGTAGTGGACAGCTTGAGTTTATAGTAAAATGGCCATTTTGATATTAAATATCAGAAGTTAATTGGGTTGCTAAGATACAGATTCTTGGCATTAACAAAGAATTGCGTCCTGGTGTTTTATTGCTTCTCATTCAGTATTCTCAATTAGAATTGACAGTAAATATTGTACATGTAAAAAGGAAACAAATGTTGATGAGTAAGATGATAAGATAAGTAACAAATGTTAGACTCAATCTGCTTGCTAGTTCACTTCACTAGTCTTTGCACGCAAAAAATATATATTTATTTTTATTTCATATTTTATATTTATGTGTGAATGTCATTATAGATGTATTGTTTTTCTTAATAAAAAATAAAGGCCAAACTCATATTTCATAATGCCACTGTACATTTAACAGCTACAACAAAGATGTATGATGCATGTTACACAGCGACATTATTGATACTAGCTACATTGTGTGTGACCTCGTAATTGCATCGCAAGTAATCGAGTCATCAGTGTCCTAATATTTAGTAGAACAAGACCCTAGCTGGCCGTATTCTTGTTCATGATATACTGATTGCCGACATGGAGAATAAGGGGCGCTATGAGACATAATTGCGCTTAACTCAGGCACCAGACCTGTCACTGGCTTAAAGAACGGAAATTAAGTCTTAAGTCCATCTTGTTTTTGATCTCATTTAACCTTTTGTGCCATACTGAGAAATCTTTTCGCTCTGACAGGCAGAGTCACATGCTTTTTTGTTCCCTCTCCATCATCCCGGTGTTATTGCATTCTGTTGATATGGCTCTTTAGTGCCCGAATGATGTATGTTCTTATTACATTTTATTAATAAACAGCACAACAGAGCGTGACATGAGAAAGTGAGAGCAAAAGGAGAGGTCAATTTGAATATGAATGATACATACAGATGCTTCCAATAAATATTAGCCTGTTTCTAACTTGCTAGGTAGCAAAAAAAGCTTCTTTCTCCTCAAAAACAAATCTGGCGTGTATTCAAATGGACACTGTGTTCTTTGTTAAATGGATGTCAGCCTCTTAGACTTTGATTATTCAGGAGCCTTCTGGACAAAGGACTTGGAAGGAATGATGATGAATGATATGCATCTTTTTTGGTACATTAAGACCCAGACAAATAATAACGCTATTGTGCATGAGCAAGGTTGCTTTTTTTTTAGATGCATATTCTGCCAGCAGTGGTAATAAACAAAAGTCGAGTCATTTCTTTAACGTAACCATTACTGTTAGCATAGTAACAAATAGTTTCTTCCAACAAGAAGTGTAGCACAATATAAACATGCTCCTATATTTACCATATTTAGCATTGTCCGATTTGTTTTAGCAAGTTTTATCAGTTTGTTCAGGTGGTTTTATTCAACTGGTTCAAACCGTAATGATTCAATGATTCACAGAAGTCTCTGTTTGTCATATTGCTACTTTTTTAGAGCAAAATATTTAGTTTGCTTTAGCTGTTAGCAGTTTGTAGTGTTGCTAGCTGCTTTTAATATGATTAGCATTTAGCTTGGTAAGCTACCCCTGATAGCACACGTACATCTCGGAGACATCTATTTGACGTCTGCATTTACATCTGCAAGACGTATTTTTTAGAGAGTTTGCTCATCTGCAATACGTCTATAGGACGTTTCCTTTTAGATGTCAAATAGACGTCTATTAGATGTCTTTAAGATGTTTATGATTTAGAATGTATGTAAAACTGACATCTGAAAGACATCTGTCAGACGTTTGTAGACAGCAGATGCTTTCTAGATCAAGAGAAATTTAACAGACATCTTGCAGACGTATGTGTGCTATCTCGGACAGTTGTCTGATAAGCATATTCTGACAAAACATTTCAGGTTGTTGGTCAGACTGAACATCTCAATTGGTATTTCATTTCTGTAAATATCAAGTCAGAAGTAAAAAAAATTTTTCCATGAAGTACCGGTGTACTTCATTTACATCTGCAAGACATATTTTTTTAGAGTGTTTGCTCATCTGCAATACGTCTATAGGACGTTTCCTATCAGATGTCAAATAGATGTTTAGAAAACATCTTTAAGATGTTTATGATTTAGAATGTATCTAAAACGGACATCTTAAAGACGTCTATCAGATGTTTGTACACAGCAGATGATTTCTAGATGAAGCGATCTTTAACAGACATCTTGCAGACGTACCTGTGCTATCTGGGATTGTAATACTGTCCGATTTATTTTAGTGAATCAGTTTGTTTTGATGGTTTGTTTGTTAACAGCTTGTAGTGTAGCTAACTACTGTTATTACGATTAACATTTAGCTTGGAAAGCTACAGTTGTAGTAGCTTCTGTCTGCTAGACGTATTCTCTGATGAAACATCACATTTTTAGGCTGTTGGTTAGGCTGAACAGTAAATATCAAATCCGCTGTTTTTCAGTAAACTTTGATCTGGCTTGAATCAATTCTTAAGGTGAGGTTTCATTTGCAAATTTTTGGCGAAATTTTTCGGCCTCACACAAAATTCCTAATCACGTGTATGGATTTCATCTGCGAAAATTTGCAAATTAATGCTAAATGTGACCACATTTGTACTGCTTTAGGGAGAATCTTTATGTTTCTGGGTAAAAAAACAACAACTTTTTCCTCTATTATAAAGATATTGAATGTTCTCTTCATGTTCTTCTACAGAGGTCAACTGTCGGACTGCCATCACGAAAGGCTACATCGCAGATCTTCTGAAGCTGTACGAAGACTGGCACAACAATGACGTCAACCTTACGAACATTCCTATCCTTAGAGCCCTACTTCATTGTCTGCAACGTGCCGCCAACTCCGCTGTCGGCAGAGATGCCCTGGTCGCTGAAGGTGGCATTAGTCTTCTCTTCCAGACCACTCAGGTGATATTTTGGCCCACTATTTGGTCCCAAAGTTCTAGTTATTTGTCATATCATGGTATTTTTTTTGTACTTTGGTACTTTTTTTTTTTTTTACTACTTTCTGTAATTACATTTCTCTGTTCCTGATGCTTTAATTTTTGCTAAGTAAACTGACGCTAGACATTACCATGCACTGTCTGCTAATGTGCTGTAAAGAAGCTATTTTTTTCTTCTGATGCATATTTTGCCCAGAGGAAATGTCACTTGGAAATCACATGTAGCGCCTTGAAGTATTTCTAACCGATTGCATTTCATCTGAAGACCTGCTTGACCATGAAAGGCCTTGAATCTCTGGTGGAACCGGCGATCCAGCTGATGAGGAAGTGCAATCCCAAAGTCCCTCTTCCACTGACCTCAGATAAGAGTGCCTTCAGCTTTCCTCTTCCTGGGAGGCCTGTCGATGACTGGGATGCTGATTTAGGACTTTACGGTAAGGTTTATGTTCCCTAGGTTTTTAAGCCAGGTTCTTTATTACACTGCCAAACACCCAACAGTTACTATTATTCTCCTCTCACAGTGTGTCCGTTAGGGACGCTGAGTCTGTCCCACTAGAGATATTTAGCCTTTACACATTGCCTTTAGCTATTAGTGCCTGACAAAGTCCTTATCGGCAAGGCCAAATTTGCAGTTGTTATCACATAGGCGCTGAGCATTTAATGACTCTAGAAAATTCTTTCAATGTCAACACAATATATAATATCCAATTTTCCTCTATTAGACTTTGATAGCAAGAATAGTATAATGAGAGTACGTGAGTTGGGAAAGTTCAAAGTGTTTATATCCAGACCACTCACTGATTCCCTCCAAGCATCAAATTGTTTTCTAATAAATTAATACAATTATAAACAAATATATGGACTAGATGAAAAACAAAAGGCTGCTTATTTTGGCAGTGGATGCATAACCATGTCTACACTTGAAGTGAGCAACATGATGCAATACATCAAAGCAAAAGTTATTATATATACAGTATATATA